GACTTAAAGCATTCAATGTAAAGGTAGTAAGATGTTCCCTGTGACCGCTATACTATTACATATTATATAATTGTATTATAATTACTTATGCATAATGTAAAATGTTTACTCGTCTAATAGGTTGAGAGGTTGAGTTTATTTTTGAACTATTTAGTATCATACTGCTAAGGATTTTTTCAGTTATGTTTTATATTGCTAATTTAAATGATCAAAAGGCATATTTAGCAGATCTTCACATTTGAGAAGTTTAAACCGGCATCAACGTAAACAAACAAGTTGCATGAAAATATAAAAAAGGAAGTAGCCTATACATGTACATTTTACTTTAGTTATATGTTTTTATTTAAAGTGCACCTATCATGCTATTTTTAGGCAATAGCATAGGTCTCAGATATATACAAATATATAAAAAACATATCTATGAAGTGTTTTGCTCAAAATACCAAACAGATCACCCATTCTAGCCATGCCTCATATCCCTCTATTTCACTTCCTGTTTCAAAAGTGCTGATTTGGGGTATAAAGCTTTAAAAAAAAAATATGTATAAAAAAAAAGAGGAGGGGGCTGAGCTCATGCAGGAGATGCTACCGGCAGATACTGCGGTGATGAAACGCCATATCATGGATTATCAAGGATTATTTCTGAAACAGTATGGAGCTCAAAGGCTTTCTCTCTTGCCGGTTATACCACAAGGTGAGTTCCTTTTTATTTCCTGCTTCTTCACACACATGTGACGAGTGTTAGCGATGCTAATGTAAACATGCTCTGACCATTTTACGTCCAAAACAGTCGGGCATTGTTTCTGATAGCAGTTTCTGATAGTGCCGTGGGTGTAAAGCCAGCCTACATTTCCGATATTACGTCATATCGGACGCAAATCTGGATCAGCTCCGTTGTAGCCCCGTTTTTAGAGATTTGGGTACGGAGGAAAAGAGAGAGGGGCCGTTTCTCAATCGCGAGGATATTGGCTTCCAAGCCAATATTTCAAGGATGCTACGTCATCGAGTGCCGCCGAAGGACTGTTCCAATCTCCAGCATACTTGGAATTCCACCGAGGCCGCGTCCTTGGTTTACAGGAAATAACTGTACATTTTTATAGTAATTATCATGTTTTTTTAAATAACTTGCAAAATCCTGTAAAATGACAGATATTAACTATAAATTAACAACCCAAAACATTATTTTAAAGGAGAGGTGTCATGGCCATTTCCACTGATCATAATTCCATTGTTGAGGTCTACTAAAATAGATTTATACTGTGCATTTTTCCAAACTCACATTGGTTTCTCATACAGCATCTCTGTAAACTACTTGTATTCACTGAATTTCACTCTCTGCCTTTAACGGCGTGTGTGGTGTGTGTGTGTGTGTGTGTGTGTGTGTGTGTGTGTGTGTGTGTGTGTGTGTGTGTGTGTGTGTTGTGTGTGTGTGTGTGTGTGTGTGTGTGTGTGTGTGTGTGTGTGTGTGTGTGTGTGTGTGTGTGTGTGTGTGTGTGTGTGTGTGTGTGTGTGTGGTGTGTGTGTGTGTTGTGTGTGTGTGTGTGTGTGTGAGTGTGTGTGGGGTGTGTGTGTGTGTGTGTGTGTGTGTGTGTGTGTGTGTGTGTGTGTGGTCCATCATACAAGATTTAGGGGATCTATTGGCAGCTGCTGATAATAACATCCATCATTATGGTTTACTAATAGTTATCACTTCACTTCCTCCTCCAGCACCTGGACACAGCAGGAACCTACGCCAGGATCCTGTTTGTGGACTTCAGCTCTGCCTTCAACACCATCATCCCAGCTCTGCTGCAGGACAAGCTCTCCCAGCTGCAGGTGGATCACAGACTTCCTGTCTGACAGGAAGCAGCACGTGAGGCTGGGGAAACACGTCTCTGACCATCAGCACCGGTTCCCCTCAAGGCTGCGTTCTTTCCCCTCTGCTCTTCTCCCTGTACACCAACAGCTGCACCTCCAGTCACCAGTCTGTCAAGCTCCTGAAGTTCAGACGACACCACGCTCATCGGACTCATCTCTGGTGGGGACGAGTCTGCCTACAGGTGGGAGATGGACCATCTGGTGACCTGGTGTGGGGAAAACCACCTGGAGCTCAACGCTCTCAAGACAGTGGAGATGGTTGTGGACTTTAGGAAGAACGCAGCCCCGCCCGCCCCCATCACTCTGTGTGGCTCACCATCACTCTGTGTGACTCCCCAGTCACTGCTGTGGAGTCTTTCCGCTTCCTGGGCACCATCATCGCCCAGGACCTCAAATGGGAGCAGAACAGCAGCTCCCTCATCAAAAAAGCCCAGCAGAGGATGTTCTTCCTGAGGCAGCTGAAGAAATTCAACCTGCCAAAGACGATGATGGTGAACTTCTACACCTCCATCATGGAGTCCATTCTCACCTCCTCCATCACCATCTGGTACGCTGCAGCCACAGCCAAGGATAAGGGCAGGCTGCAGCGTGTCATCCGCTCTGCAGAGAAGGTGATAGGCTGCAATCTGCCATCCCTCCACGACCTGCATGCCTCCAGGACCCTGAGGCGGGCAGGAAAGATAGTGGCCGACCCCTCCCACCCTGGACACAAACTGTTCACCCCCCTCCCCTCTGGCAGGAGGCTGCGCTCCATCAGGACCAAAACCTCTCTCCATCAGGACCAAAACCTCTCTCCATCAGGACCAAAACCTCTCTCCATCAGGACCAGAACCTCTCTCCATCAGGACCAGAACCTCTCTCCATCAGGACCAGAACCTCTCTCCATCAGGACCAAAACCTCTCTCCATCAGGACCAAAACCTCTCGCCACCTCAACAAGGCCCCCCCACTGACACTTTACCTCATCCACAACGCAGACTCTATGCATTACATAATGGAGATCACAGGATGGTAAATAATGCAATGTTTAAATATTGCTTACTGCACATATTTTATATTCTATAATTTATTGCATTCTATTTCGATGTATATTACTGCTTTATTTTATTGCTATCTTACTATATTTTTATTACAGTGTTCTTAATATAGTTCGCTATCTGTGTACTTTTTTTTATTTAATTTTTTTATTTATATGTATGCACCACGACACCTAGTCAAATTCCTCATACGTGTGAACCTACCTGGCAATAAACCTGTTTCTGATTCTGATCTTTTTGTCCTCTAGGTTGCACTGCCACGTCTACAGTAGCGCAGAATGGACAGAGGAAATATGATTGGGCCTCAAGTTTTTTTGCAGCCAATATACATTCTACAAACTTGGGATAGGAGGGTGAGTGAACAAGTTATCCATTGGTTGGAACCTACATCCCCATTGTTAGACGTACTAAATCCTGCACACTGCTCCTTCAAATTGACAATGTGAACATATGTTGCCATTTTGTAATTTCTGTTATTTTCAGTTGAGAATGTTTCAAAGTACTCTTAAAAAATTCAACTTACTTTTTGTTTCTACTGTTTATAAGTATGATGTTTAAATATGAAATGCTGTATTCATTAGTTGTACTATAATTCTACAAATATTTTTATATTTTAAGTTTTCAGAGTAATTGTTTCCTACAGAACATTTTGTGATTTTATTGAACCTGTTTGATTGGAAAATGTTAGAAAAAATATGTAAAATAACAGTATTCTACCTGTAGAACTTTAGGTTCTGTATTTATTTTAGTGTTTGATCATACAAATCTAATAAAAAAAAAAATGTAAAAAACAGTTTTTCTCATCAGAACTTTATTTAAGGTATTTGAATGTAACATTTTAAGACAATGGATTTTGAAAAGAGAGGAAAGTTTCCTCTAAAATCTTTAAGAACAATTTCTGTATACTAATTGCTTTTGCACTTTATTTCAGTTAAAGTATTTTTACTTTAATTTTATGGTTTTTGTTTGGCAGCCGCTGCTGCCAGTCATTTGACCGTTTTTTTACGGGTTTTTTGCCCGTAGAAGTTTTAGTGCTGTACTTTTATTAAAGGTTATTGACTGTAAAAAGAGAGGATAAATCTGTAAAATTACAGTGTTTGCACGTTAAAGTATTAGTGCTGTACTTTTATTAAAGGTTATTGACTGTAAAAAGAGCAGATACATCTGTAAAATTACAGTGTTTTCCTGTAAAATCTTTAAGGACAATTCCCGTAAATTAATGGCTTATTCACTTTATTTCAGTTAAAGTATTTTACTTTAATTTAAGGGTTTTTGTTTGGCAGCCGCTGCTGCCAGTACTTTGACCGTTTTTTTTACGAGTTTTTTACAGTGTAGCCTATGTAGTGGCGTAGAACATGTGTTGGTAAATATGTTACTTTGTTACATTTGTTTGTTATCACCAAAAATGTGTTCTGTGAAAGTAAAGCAAGTTCATAATTAGATAGACATCGTGAGGTATTTATTTTCGGTACAGTTTATGTTGAAACCGTTAGAGAGAGTGGCACACTTGTTAGCCTGTTCCATTCTTCTTCGTTTTCCGAAGCCGTAGCTTGGAAGCATACTTGCTTCGTTTCTGAAGGAAGTGACTTGGAAGTACGCGACTACCAAGCCAGCATCCTCGCGATTGAGAAACGGCCAGGGTTTTATTTTCTGACGCTGCGTGAGTTCCCCGACACACCGGGGACACATATTTATGTATAAAAGACATCAAAAAGTGCATTTTGCATGATAGGTCCCCTTTAACCTTTATTACACTTCTTGAATTAGCTATCTTCCTCTGCTTCAGAATGAGTGAAATATAATCAAAATACATATTAATATATAAGTCTGTGAAATTACACATTTATATTAAATTCCCTTAGAAAACTCGTTTTTTTTGCTGTCTTATTTCTTTAATATGATTCTAAATGAAATGTACTTATTTATTATTCGTTATTCTTTAAGCAGTATAAAGTATCTACATTTTACAAAAGTGTATGTTATTACTACACAGTCTTAAAAAAATGATCATTTCACATATTATTGTTATTTTGATGGTTCTTCTTTTCTATAGTTTTCTGCCTGTTGAAAGAGCTCAGCACGTATAGCGCGCGGGACTGGTTGACGTTTTGTCCCCCGGAAGTGTTTCTCCTTATCCAACGAGGTCATAATGGCGGCTCGCTGCATGTGAAGGGGTCGAAACAAGAGCCGGCTTAATGAGTGGAGAACATGTATAAAACGCCATGTTGCAGACTGTCAGGTAACACAAGAGGCAATGTGATATTTCGGTTTGCATACAGCTGAATTTCGAAGTTGTAATAATCTGCATCTGCTAAATGCAACCTTTGAAGCTAAGCCGGAAGAGGAAGGCTAACTAGCACATAGCTATCCGGATAGCACCTGAGATGTTTGGCAAGAGGCTAGCAGTGACCTTAAATAGAAGTCAACTGCATCTGCACACACCGAAATTAACTTATGACTGACTGGCTTGATAACGACAACATGTTGGCTATTTTATATAAGATGTATGTTAGCAAACAACGTGAAAAGCTAAGGTTCAACTTCATAGCAATGTTGATACCCATTTTATAACCTGTGACGATATGATGGGAAACATGCGTGTATTTACCCTGTATTATTAGCTGTATCTCTACTTATGAAGTGCCAATCGGAAGAGTATAGCTGTATTGATATTGAACTGATAACATCTGACAGGCATGAACTGGGTATAATGCACAGTAGTCTTTTTTGGTATGATCATGCTCTGATTTATGCCCAACACATTGCTTGTGTATGCTGCTTATAGTTAAAGTCATATATATTATTTGTTGTCTTTTTGTATCCAATGTTTCTATTTTTACCATGCACACTTACACTACCTATACTTCAGATTTGATACTGTACATGCATTTTATAATGCAACCCAACCTAGATTAGTCAGAGCTATTTGTCTGCTTATATTTGTATGATTCATAATGTTATCCTGAGTTAGGCTTTTTAATATATAAAATATGCACCTTATTTGCACTCTATTGTTATATTGGACTTGTATATTTTCACCCTTTCCACTTTTCATTGCAATTACTGAAGGCAATTTCGCTTTTCCCTTGCCCAAAAGTGTTATCATACTTACTTGACGTTGTATATACGATTGGATCCGTGTTTTTTGTCTTGTTTTTTGTGTGTTTATTGGTTTAACAGAGTTAAACTAAATCAACAGTATTTATTTTGCTGACTTAACATTGCATTTTACTTTTTTTTTTTAGGTTTGGTTGGTCTAAGTGTGAAACAGAAATTAGTCCTAAATGTTCCTCAATGTAACCAGAGTGCTCGCAACCTCATTCAGCTGCACAGAAGGGATCCATCAAACTGGCTGACGTACCAGCACCTGATCTTCCTGAAACGCCAGGTATTTTGCACTGGGCCCAATATATAATTTTTTTTTTTCTATACCGTTTTATAGTACATCACAATATATGATCCCATCCATCACCTTGTGCATCTGGTTTTCCTTTCAGTATGTAACAAAGAACAACAATGAGCTTCACCAACGTGCCATCCCGAAGCAGGCTCCCGCCCTGACCATAGTGAATGAGAGGGAAGACACCATTGAAAGACAGGTGCAGAGAATACTAACTATTGATCCTGTGGACAGACATACTGTGTCACAGCCAGAGGATGTCAACAGTGAAGCACAGCCTGGAATATCCACCTTGAAGCCCGTTACAGAAGATGCAGCAGAACAGAGAGATTCTGTGTCCGGTACAGTTGGGACATCCCATGAGACTCCCCATGTCCACGTGGAGACGGATAAAGCAAAGGAGGAACGTCTAGACAGACAGTGGAAGCAGGTCAAGGTCAATGTGGCTGACTTGCCGGATGTCTACGCCAAGCTAGCCAAAATCAAACTCACAGGTAAATGATATGACTTTTTCTGTCATATAATATGAAGTGTTTACATTAGGAGGCGGATGCATGCAAGCAATAACCTGAAATGCATTGAGATCTTCATTACTACATATACAAACGTACCTGCTTATTTAACACAGTATATTCTTTGTAATACCAAATACAGGATGTGCGAGGAATCACATACTAATTTACTGCATACTATATTCTCAATCTGATTGTACTGTATATTTAATTAGCGATGAAGTATTCCATTACCATCAGCGAACTCTTCACCCTGGAGTAAACTCATGCGATACGTCTTATCTGCATTGCTGTCCAAGCTACCATTAATGGAATATTTTAGAAAATTGACATCACCCTTCCCACTCAATTTAATATTTTCCAAGGCTGATTATGAAATCATATGCCTCGTAGTCTGTCATTGAACAGTCTGAAGAGCTGCAGTGCATTCTGGGGCAGTTATGTTTGTTTAGTCCAGTAAGAGACTCATATGGGGCTTTCACACCAACGCGGTTCCAGGGCCGGTTCGGAGCTAGAGCCTGAAAAGCACCGGTTTTTCCTGTTCACACCGCTCCGGAATCCGGTTCGTTTCAAGCACCAAAAAATGGTCGGTCTAGAAGCAAGAACCGCATACGTCACGCTAGGGCTGTGCAATTAATCGTATTTTAATCGCAATTACGATTTGGGCCTGCCACAATTACGAAAACAACATAATCGAAAAAAACGATTATTTTGCTTTGCTAGGTTGTGACAGTGCACTGCAACATATTTGATCAAATGTATTTGTATTTATCATATTTATATATGTTTAGTAGATTGTTGAAGTGCGCTCCAAAATATTTGTTGATCTTGTTTATTGGTATTTATTATTTTGATATTATTTATTTAAATGTAGATATAAATGTATCATTTATTTTATTTATTTTTGTATTGGTTTTTCAGCTGAATTATATGTTCAGGGAAATCAACAGATACTGTTCAAATGATTATTTGTATTTAAAAGTTCAATAAATGGATGTTTTCAAAGTCAATGAATAATCGTATTTAATAATCGTGATATCAATTATTGACCAAAATAATCGTGATTATGATGTTTGCCATAATCGCACAGCCCTACGTCACGCTTACGTCAGAGGGGGGCGAGATTAACCTGAGCTAACAGTTAAAGGCGAGTACGGCAAATAAAAGTTGTAACAAGCAGTAGCGCTGAGCAAAGTGACTAGAACACAACCACACACTTATAAAAAAAAACACACTTTATAAAGTCAGGCAACACTAACCAGGCTTCGTGTGATTCTGTTTATTTGTATCTTACTTTGACCATCCGTTCGCTGTTATTGATCATTGTGGAGAGCAGGCAGACGTTTTGTTTTTTATTATAGCAGCTATTGGATGGAATCAATACATGGGCTGCACAGGTTGTCATGTCCAACTATCACAAGTAGAATCATAATGAAAAATACGCCGGTAAAATGTGCCTGTAGAAAACGGCTTATGCCACAATAGGATAGCAACAACAAGTAGTCAAGATAGTCAGTTTAGCTTCGGTTACTATGCTAACATCACCCATTTTATACCAGAGAAACTTTCATAACAGCGTTGTGATGCCAAACAGCGTCAATTCAGACTGACACACATTCACTTAAGGGGAACTGGGGATATGTATCAGCTGCTTGTGTGACCGTCAGACAGTGAATACTTTAGCGGCCGCTGCCGTGAGTTAACGGGAGAATAAACTCCAGTGGACGAGCAGCACTGCAGCGGTCGGTAAATGCCGCTGAAACACATTAATAAACAATGAACCACGGCACTCTGGAGAAAAGTATATGGTTGGAGAAGTCGTTATTTAATTTAATCTGGCTTCGTATGATTAAAAGCCACACGATCATCGACCCAACGCAGTCCCCCATTGTTGTTGTAGTGAGCGCCGTAACGCCGTTGGGGAGAAAATCAGCGACGTAAATGGTGACGTCATGACGCAGCAGCGGCAGCACCAGTCGGGCTCTGGGCGGTGTGAACAAAACGGGGGCTGAAAAGAAAAACCGGTTCCGAACCAGAAAGCTCTAGCACGGAGCTAGAACGGGAACCGCGTTGGTGTGAAAGGGGCAATACTGAGTAATTCTTGATGTGCTATGTATCCAAACATTTCTTCAGTACTCCAAACCACATACTATACAGTCGGACCACACTACCTACTCCATTTTACATGACACTTACTAGCAATAGCATATCAGGGTTGCCAACTTTGGGTACCTGGCTGGAGTGAGATTTTGATATCATGGGTTTAATTACACATATGCGCACTAAATGACTGCTATCATGTCAGTAGCGGGACCTTAGCATATATATTGGATATATATACAATATATGCAAATACACAATATTGGACACAGACTATAAAGGGCACAAAGTTTCATTCACTAATGAAAGTCAAACATGTTTGTTTCCACTGTTTTATTGTGCCTGTCGCGATAAGCAAATAATTGACTTATCGTACGATAAATAAAAATGAACTCGATAAATTGCCATTTACATGAGGATGTGACAAGCAGTTTGAAAGGATGTACTTGAATTATTATTATATATTATCATTATGTCAGTGGTCTAAAATGGTCATACAACGGTGCCGACAATATTATCGTTTATCGCAATAATTTCCGGGAAAATGTATCCAACAAAATTAATTATCGTGAGAGGCCTATACATGAAACACACACACACAAACAAATCTACAGACTTACTCCAAACTGCCAAATATATTAATTAACACACTCTCACTCTCATATACTCTTTGACTCTATTTTGGCCTAGTAGAACAATAAGCAGCAGACTTTTACTTTTTATCATTTCTACTGGATCTCAGATCTGCGCATGCGCAATACGGGTCGGGGATTGACCAACCGGCTCCCACTGCTCTGCTGTCTGTTAACGTTGTTAAGAGTGGTGGGGGCGGGGAGGGAGCGGATTGACAGCTTGAGCAGCTGTCAACTCAACATTGTAAATAACCAACCAAAAATGATCGCCGGTTCATCTTGTTTTTGGCGTGAGAATAGGTTGGGCAGCGTGAGAGCGTGAGATTGAGAGTGAAAGCGTGTGTCACACGCCAGATGCGTGAGAGTTGGCAACCCTGGCATATTAGTGTGCAATCTTTGGGCAGACCTTTGTTGTGTGACGCTTTGGTCACTGGAAACGACACCTCTCTGCTGTTGATCTGTATGATGAGTATGTTCCAAACAACCCGTTTTTTGGAACATACTATATTTCTCATACTAATTGAGAAATATGCTTCTTTCGGTTGAGTGTTACCGGCAACATACTGATCAAAAAGTAAATATTTTGGCAGTTTCATGCAGTGTTATTTATTTAATTGAGGGCTTGCTATTGTATGGGGTAAGACCTGATTTTCTCCATCAAGACATGTTAGCTGGCTAGCCCATAGAAACTGACTTTAATTAGTATTTAAAACAAATACAAATGTTTGCACTAAAACAGATCATATTGTGCTAGCTTCTTCTGTTTACATATAATTAGGCTTCTACAAAAAAACAAAGCATAGCACTGTGTTCGCTTTTTACTTTAGGAAGTAATTCTACTTTTAACTGCTGGTTTAATTTGCTGCTTGCTTGCTTTTTTCAGCGCTGGTGGTTACGAGTGCAGTGGCCGGCTTCGCCATGGCTCCAGTGCCATTTGACCCTCTGCTCTTCTTCGTGTCCTCTCTGGGAATAGGCCTCGCCTCTTGTACTGCCAACACAATCAACCAGGTCAGTTACCCTCAGAGGGAGGTCACACAAGGCCATGCATTTTTATTTCCGTATACGAGTGTTTGTTTTGTTTTGGCTTTTTGCCAAATCACACGTAGGCCTAAACACAACACAAGTCCTCGATAATGTGTGGAATATCGTTTACTTTTCACTGTTTGACCTTGAAGTGTAATCAAGGGCTCTTAGACACACTGTCATGAATACGTTTCAGAAGGATGGGACTAGCTGCAGGAGTATCTAATAAACCGGTAATAGTGTAAACAAAAGAACAAAAGCGTGACTTGCGTAATTGTTTCAAGAATCGCAGTAAAAAGTGCAGATGTTTCTGCTTAATAATCTGCTTATTTTTAAAGTACCAATTTCCTTTTTGGAGGAAAGTAATGAGGAATTGTCTCAGAGCTGGCAAGATATCTGTTGGTCTTTATAATGCATAATCCATTTTTTTTGACATGTTATACAAACAAGAAAAGTGCTTGTTGACAGACACACACATGTGCAGTTTTCCTCATAGTAATGCCTCTGTTCTGGAAAACCATCACCAGCACATCCCCCTTTTTGACCCGTTTTACATTCCTCTTGTGCTACGTATCTTAAAAATGCATCGAGCAGACTGTAATGCTGTTATTATTTCCTTGCTGAAAGCTTTTTTTCGAAGCTATAAACAAAGGTGAGCTAGTGTGCAGAGACACTTAGAATGCCTGGAATAAGTGGAGCCTAGCGTTGACGTTAGAGATAGGGATTTGCTCCGTGACTCAGGAATATTAGTATAATGGGTGACCTCTCCCTCAGCCTTCGATTGAACTCTTCTTAATAGTGTTTTTAGTCTATAATTTAGCAAAGGCCCTTATTACACTGCAGGTTCCTGCCCGTAGGGCCGAAGCCCCGCCTACCTCTTACCCTCAACGTTCCAACTGCTGCAAATGCCAAGTCAAACAAACTTTGTTTAGAAGTGACACTGATCACCATAGTCCTGAACTTGCATTCTGTATCACAACTACAATCTGCCCCCCACCTGCGTCACCTACTGGAGTTTGGATATGAATGTGCTAATGTTTACACAGTTCATTTTTTGTTTCGCCCTGAATAGTGTCAGTCAGACTGTCGCTCAGGTTAAAGTTGTATTGTTTCTTCAGTGGCCTGAACCAGAGCCGCGCTCCAACTCCTCTGTGCAGCTCTACCTCACACTGAGCAGGTGTGTAAATATCCTTCAGGTATTTGAGAAATGTTCCCCTCCTCATGCTGCCTAGAGTATTGCAGACTCCAGCTCTAAGACGCTGAGTGATGTAAGAGGGGTCTGCCTCTGAGCGTACCCTGGGTGTCCCTTTATCTGCGGGCCCACCCTCACATCAGTACTGTCAGTCTTCATTTTCTCCAGCCCGAGGTTAGGATACGACATGGCTTCGTATTTCATTGGAACATTGTTGTTTGCCTTTCAGTGCCTCTCTCTCGGCTTCCTCCGGTCAGGTTCAGTTTCAAACCTACAGTGAAGGTGAAGCGCGGGCTAAGGTGAATTTCAGAGCCCAAATTCTAGTTGCAAATTCGATAAGTGTGTTAAAAATGACAGGAAATACTTACAGTCAGGGCGTCCATCAATTTGGAAATGATGGAACAGTTTTTATCTTTTCCAGGCCATTTGCAAAAGCCACATTTATTTTTTGCAACTCGGCTTCATCAATTTAAGTTGAAGCAGAATTTGGATAAATAAATAAAAATTAAGCAGGCTTTAATTATTGTTTTTACCTTCTTGCTGTGTCACTTTTCAAGGTCTATTTTATCCTATACACTCTAATAGCATTTTGTATGTCTTTAGTTATACAACCGGAGTACACCAGTATTACATTTTTAGTAAGAAGTCATGAAAAGTTGATATTTGATTGTATAAATGGACCCTCCAGATTGTAAAGATATCAAAGGGGCTAATGGACAAGGTTATTGATGTCCAAAAAATGTGTTCATCTTGCAATATGCATATGTGTAAAAAGATCTCTCTGGTATGATGTATGGAATTCTGGGAATGTTTTACAAGGTTTCTGTAGATAAATATACAGTGAATAATAAAGAGATCCTGGTGGAATATTACTTCAACATTTCCTTCTGTTAGCACAAATGGCCTTGTGTGTGCATTAGCTGGAAATGCATCAGTGTTGCTGTGTTTTGAGGCTCCTTTTTTTGTGCCTTAGTCAGATCCCTCATCCCTGATTCTCTGTAGGGACATTTAGCGTGTCGTCAGTCTTAATTGGCAGGACTTGGAGATGGGATTATTGTTTCAGAGATATTAGCCACCTGTCTTTCAGTGCGGCTGACTTTGAAGCATGTTAGTCGTGCGAGGGCACATTTTAAGGTGTTTACCGCTAGGATAAACATCATTAGGAAGGTAAACTTACTTGTATCTGGTAGTGTCTCCATTTACTTGTCTGGTATGAAAAGTATGTGCCTTTGTACAAACCAAGCAGTGGTTATTGGTGTTTTGTTTTGTAGTCATTTTCAGCAGTGTAATTATACACACAGGCACAGGGGATGTCGTGTGTGACAGATAATTGCCACTCTGGCGGCACTTTGCACTTCTTTGCAATGGGTTAACACACTGTCGGCTCTTGTGTCAAAGACACACCCTCACCTGTGTGTAACTGATTTCACCGCTTTGGTTATCGGTTTGTTTTTCATAATCCTGAAAAGAAAAAGTAGAATGCAGAAAAAAAACATCACTCCTTTGGATCTGCTGCCAAAGGTTTTTTAATTATTTTTCTTTGCATTCTCTTTCATCTTATAAAAGTGGAGCTTCACCATTAGTGTGGTTAGTTGTGATCAAAGCTATATGTTTTTTTTGTTGTATGAAATATACAAAAGCTTGATAATCAAAGTAGAGAAAGACCCTCCTGAAAAACACATCCTTTAGATTCTCCTGCTCGGTCTTAATCCCTTAATGCCCGGCATCTAAAGAGGCAGAAGATGGTTCACGTTTGTGACCAAACTGCCGCCACACTACCTTGATTTAAGAAGGAAAATGCCTTAAGGGAGAGGGAAATGCTTTGGCTTATGGAAGTGGCAGTCGGACCTTCTGTGGAGCTGTCAAAAGCCAAGGCTGCTCTTTGTCCCACTGGAAAGGGCCCGTAGGGCAAACAGAAATGTTGTGGTTTCCCTTTAAAATGTTACTCTATTTAGGAAACTGACGGAAGGGTGTAAGCACTTGGAGTCACGTAACAATGGCATTTCACCGTCTCGTGTTTCTCACCACAGACTAAATACTTAATGCTGTCATGTCTGTCTTACAATCACAGACGAGTCAGCTCGGACACACAGGGATGTAATTATCTGAGCTTCCCGTTCAAGTATCTCGCATAGGTTGGCAATTATAAACTTTTCTTGACACGTTATTTTTTGCTTACACCTCTGTTGTTCTTAGACTACCACTAAAACATGTAAAAATGTTGCGCTCAAAATACTAACACTGTAGAAGGGCTGCAACTCATGATCATTTTTATTATCCATTCATCTGCGGATCGTTATTTCGATTATATGGATAATCGTTTTGTCCTTAAATGTCAGAAAATAATGGGAAGATTTCTATCCTAGATTTCATAAGTTTGAGTCGATGTCTTATTTGGATATTTTTAATAAAATGATTAAAGATTCTACAAATATTTGGTGATTATTTCTCTGTCAATCAAGTAATCCATTGGTCATATTTTTGTTTTAACTCCTACTCTGACTGAAATAGCTCAGCGGTCTCAAAGTCTTACCAAAAGTGTTCCTACATTGTTCCTTCCTTTACTGTTGGATAGAGTCCCGACTAGTTTTAGTATAAAAACTACTGGATGATCCGGTCTTCAGGACCCTTGGGCCCCACACCAGGCCTCCGCAGGTGTTCCAGCCGTCATCACCTCCCAGTCTGGCCACTACTTCAGCTAATTGGATAATTGGGTCAGATCAGAGTTTCGGCCTGGAGCCTCAAAGACCCCAGGGAAGTCTAAGGTCCCCAGCAATGTAAACAAGACCTGATGCGGCCTTTCGCTGTCAAACACAAACAGCTCGCTTATTTTGACAGCGGCTTTAGTGTAAGTCACACCAAGTCAGCGCGCGTGTGTTTGTTTTGATGAAAATTCAAGACGGCTTGTTTTGTGGCTGCCTAGCGTCCCTGCTGCATTTGTGACCATGACACTGAGTTTGCTTTTGTGTCTGTGTCTCTCCTGTGGTGAGCTGTCTGAGCCTGGCACGCATAAGCGAGCCCCCACAAGCCCCCGACCCATCCACTCCACGCCCTTCTCTCCGTCCTGTGCAGGCATGCATTATTTACCCTCCTGCACGCATCTTGGTCAGCTCCTTAGTGTATAGGTACACGACCGAACATAGAGATGAAAATGTGTATAATTAACTTTTTCAGCCTTTTAAAAGATGAATGAATCAAGGTAAAATACAAGTGTTTTGTTCTCTGAATGTAAACTCAGTTGTGTGTTGGGTGCGTGAAGGCAGAGTAACCACTTTTTGTAGCACACCAAAGCTCTATAAAAACATTTTATACATGATTTCTGAAGCTACATCTTAAATCATTTACTCATCAGAATCATGGAAAAGGTTTCAAATTGATAGGACTAAAATTATATTTGTCTCTTAATACCCAATGCAAAGCCATCAGATAAAGCCACTGTATTATATCTTTTACTAGCATTTTCAAGTTCTTCACAATCTAATGATATCTCTGCTTACTATTTCAAGGACATGCTTTAACAATGCTGGCTGACACATGGAGGTCAGACTGGTGAGCTGACACCTGAAATGTGATGTTAATTGAGCCTGGAAATTCCCTCCTGTTGTTCTAATAGCTGTCAGAGTTAACGAGATGGCAACACGCTAACCCAAATCTGTTTTAATGCCACTATTATTTCTGCACATTAACGCAGACTGTGGTACGAAGCACCCTATTCTTTTTATCCCTGTTGCGGCTATATTGTGGGCAAACGATCAACCATTTCTGTTGATAAAAAGTATGAACTCTCAAGCGT